GACATCCAAATGGCCAACAGACACATGAAAAAGTGCTCAACATCACTTGGCATCAGGGAAATCCAAATCAAAACCTCAATGAGATACCACCTCACACCAGTCAGAATGGCTAAAATGAACAAGTCAGGAAACAGATGTTGGCGGGGATGCAGAGAAAGGGGAACCCTCCTACACTGTTGGTGGGAATGCAAGCTGGAAAACAGTATGGAGGTTCCTCAGAAAGTTGAAAAGAGAGCTACCCTACAACCCAGCAATTGTACTACTGGGTATTTACCCCAAAGAAACAAATGTAGTGATCCGAAGGGGTACATGCACGCCTATGTTTAGAGCAGCAATGTCCACAATAGCCAAACTATGGAAAGAGCCCAGATGTCCATCGACAGACGAATGGATAAAGAAGATGCGGTATATATATACAATGGAATATTATGCAGCCATCAAAAGAAGTGAAACCTTGCCTTTTGCAACAACATGGATGGAACTGGAGGGTATTATGCTGAGCAAAATAAGTCAATCAGAGAAAGGCATGTATCATACGACCTCACTGATATGAGGAATTCTTAATCTCAGGAAACAAACTGAGGGTTGCTGGAGTGGTGGGGTGGGAGGGATGGGGTGGGTGGTGACAGACACTGGGGAGGGTATGTGCTATGGCGAGAACTGTGGATTATGTAAGACTGTTGAATCACAGACCTGTACCTCTGAAACAAGTAATACATTATATGTTAAAAAAAAAAAAAAAAAAAGAAGATAGTAGGAAGGGAAAAATGAAGGGGGGGGAATCGGAGGGGGAGACAAACCATAAGAGACTATGGACTCTGAGAAACAAACTGAGGGTTCTAGAGGGGAGGGGGGGTGGGAGGATGGGTTAGCATGGTGATGGGTATTAAAGAGGGCATGTACTGAATGGAGCACTGGGTGTTATACGCAAACAATGAATCATGGAACACTAATGATGTAATGTATTGTGATTAACATAATAAAAGAAAAAAAAAAAGAATCATTGCCCTATACCTACAAGTTCAAAGCAAAATATTCCCAAACAGCACTTTTGTTTCATCACAAAATTAGTTCATGTTTTCTTTTTTAAAGATTTATTTTTAGAAAGAGAGCGAGCGAGCACATGTGAGCAGGGGGAGAGGCAGAGTGAGAGACAGAGAAGCAGACTCCCACTAAGTGGGGAGCCTAATGCAGAGCTTTGATCCCATAAACCTGAGACAATAACCTGAGCTGAAAATAAGAGTCAGATGCTCAACTGACTGAGTCATCCAGGAGCCCCTCATGTTTACTTAAAAATTCAAGCCCAGAATGGAGCCTACTTAAAAATAAATAAACAAAAATTCGAGCTCTCCTCCTTAGCACCCCACTCCTGAGCCCAATTACTGTTTTGAACTTTACTATTATTTAAGGACCACTACATTCTACATGTTAAAAAAAATCAGTGATACTAAACTGGTTTTGACACTCACCAATCTGTTAAACATCCTACCCTGTCAAAATACATATATCTACCTCATTCTTCTGGCACATAAGACAATACACTACAATTGTACCATTTTTGCCACTTCCCTGAGTGACTTGTTTCTAGTATTACTACTACTATTAGTGCAGCAGTGAATACCCCTATATACACATATATCTGTGAACACAAATGCAAGACCAAAGGTATGCACACTTAAACATTTGACAAGTATTGCCAAATCACTTCCAAGAAGTTACACTAATTTTTTTTTGCATTTTTTAAAAAAGAGTTTGTTTATTCATTTGAGAGAGTGAGCAAACAAAAGAACACAAACGGCAGAGGGAGAGGGAGACGCAGGCTCTCCAATGAGCAGGAAGCCAGACGCAGGGCTTGATCCCAGGACCCTTGGATCATGACCTAAGCCAAAGACAGATGCTTAACTGACTGAGCCACCCAGGTGCCCCAAAGTTACAAATTTATCCTCTCCATACCCTTGCTGTCCTGGGTGAAATCTTTATAAATGTTTTCCTAATAAATGAAATATATTTCACTTTTAAAATTTATACTTCTATAATCACCAGTAGTAGGAAACATCTGATATGCTTATGATCACCACCTGCGTTTCCTCTTCCATAAACTACTTATATCCTTTGTACATTTTTTTTTACTAGATTACTTTTTTCTACTTTCTAAGAGTTCTTTGTGTATTAGAAACACTATTTAGAAGCACAGGCTCCAGTTAAAACAGTTTGAGTGCAAACAGTATTTACTGATACAGGACTTGATCTCCCTATGCCTCATGTGCTATTTTTAGTTTCAAAAACTATTCTTTTGGGGCACCTGGGTGGCTCAGTTGGTTAAGCAGCTGCCTTCGGCTCAGGTCACGATCCCAGGGTCCTGGGATCAAGCCCCATGTCTGGCTCCCTGCTGGGCAGAGAGCCTGCTTCTCCCTTGCCCTCTGCCTGCTGCTCTGCCTACTTGTGCTCTCTTTCTCTGTCAAATAAATAAAACCTTAAAAAAACCCCAAAAAAACTATCCTTTTAAACTGAATATAGATAGACCTATAAAAGAGATTAAGAAACTGACGTGTGTATAATTTTGTGTTGTTTTTTTTTTTTTTAAGTGGGCATGGAGCTAAGCGTTCAAGCTGGGCTTGAACTCACGACCCTGAGGATCAAGACCTGAGCTGAGATCAAGAGTTGGAGGCTTAACCAACTGAGCCACCCAGGCACCCCTGTATAATTTTGTAACTACAAGGCGTATATTTGATTCTGATGTCACTCAGAAAAAAAAAGTTTTTTTCGAAGTCTTATATAAAGTCGTATCTTCAGTCATATTATCTGGCTCATGGTTTTGGTAGCTTTAGATTAACAATGTCAATTTTCGGGTGCCTGGGTGGCTCAGTCGTTAAGCGTCTGCCTTCGGCTCGGGTCATGATCCCAGAGTCCTGGGACTGAGTCCTGCGTCGGGCTCCCTGCTCAGCAGGAAGCCTGCTTCTCCCTCTGCCTGTCTCTCTCTGTCTCTTCCGAATAAATAAATAAAATCTTAAAAAAAAAAAATGTCACTTTTCATGTAACATTAATTAATATCAATTTAATCTTTATTTAAATTAAATCTACAAGCCAACTTGTAGAAAAATTAAATCCCTCTGGCTTAAGCCAGTAATTAATGAAAATATATTTGCTGTAAGAGTTTTCTGTTGTTTTTTTTTTAAGATTTTATTTATTTGAGAGAGAGAATGAGAGATAGAGAGAGAGCATGAGAGGGGGGGAGGGTCAGAGGGAGAAGCAGACTCCCTGCTGAGCAGGGAGCCTGATGGGGGACTCGATCCCAGGACTCCAGGATCATGGCCTGAGCCAAAGGCATTCGCTTAACCAACTGAGCCACCCAGGCGCCCGTGTTGTTTTTTTAAGTGAGAGAGAGAGCGCAAGTGGTGGGAGTGGCAGAGGGAAAGAAAGAATCTTAAGCAAGCTCCATGCTCAGTGCTTGTATCTCATGGATTTATTATTGTATTTATATTTCTTCTTTTATTTACAGGGGTTTTGAGGAAAGAAGATATTAATAGGGGACCTCAGTCAGCCATCTTAAACATAAAGTCTCAAACACCACTTTAGACTCAAATCCCAAACCATTTTTTTCCCTTTTATTTTTTTAAAGTGAGCTCTATGCCCAGCATGAGGCTTGAACTCAAGACCCCAAGATCAAGAGTCGCATCGCATGCTCTACGGATTTAGCCAGTCGACGCCCATATCCCAAACCATTTTAACCTTAGGAAAAAGGAAGTCCATGCTATAAGTAACAGCAGAATAATTTCTCAAACCAAAAAGTCAGCCTCCTCTTATCTACCTTTCCTGGACCCCTCCTTCCCTACAAAAAATGGAAAAAACAGGGGTGCCTGGGTGGCTCAGTTGGTTAAGTCTGCCTTCAGTTCAGGTCATGATCCCAGAGTCCTGGGACTGAGACCTGCATCATGCTCCCTGCTCAGCAAAAAGCCTGCTTCTCCCTCTCCCACTGCCTGCTGCTCCCCCTGCTTGTGCTCTCTCTGTGTCAAATAAATAAAATCTTAAAAAAAAAAAAAAAAGGAAAAAACAGTGACTGCATTCCTCCACGTGCCGAATGTTTTCTTGTCTATTATCTCATTCAGTCTCACTAAATTTAACAGATGAAAAATCTAGGGCTGAAAAGATTTAAATGTCAACAAATAGGAGGTCAAGCCAGATTTAAAACCAGGAATCCTACTCCAGAGCCCAAGTCCTTCCAATATACCTGCCTGCATTCCTAAGAAGCAAAGAGGCCACAGTCTTTCTATCTCATCAGACATACCTCTCCACAGTCCTTGCCCATCCGTGAGGTTCTACCGTTTCCAATTCTCTTGGTGGAAAAAGCAGTGAGGGCAGAATGAAACAGAATCACAATAGACAGGAGCAAGAAAGCAGCATTTGTAAATGGAGTATACTGTTAGTTTCATATAAGGAACTCCTAAAGAGGCACTTTTACCTTCTCAGCAAATGTATTAAGTTTCTCTTCTTTCTGTAAGCTCATTATCAATTAGCATTATTTCCTGAGGATTACAAATAGTAAATGCAGACCTAGAAATCTACAAGTGACCTAAGTCAGAGAACCACAAAACTAAATGAAGATCACTAAAATATATCATATCCATTTTAAAACAAGTTTCAAACGTCAGGCTTTAAATAATGAGCTAAGATGAGCCCCTCCTCTGCCCTTGATCTGTTCAGGGTGACACAGACAAAAGGGAACCTTCAGTTACACACAGCTGTGTCACATCCAAATCCAGTCCCAGAAGACCGCTAATCCTATACTGTTCAATTCTCCAAAGCAAATGGCAAGTATCTGTAGTCTTTTTAGTTTATGGTAGTTGCAAATATTTTTAGTCTGTTTTTTAAAATACCAGAGTACTCCCCTTTGTGAAAACAACCTCGGACATTTGTATATAAGATGGGATGTTCCTACTAACCAAAACCCTGATGGAAATAGAATCTGTTAAACAGAATGCACCTCAACATCTCCCTTTTACCTGAACCTGCTGTGGCTGCTGAACCTGAATCTGCTGTTCTTGTTGGGTTTGTGGCTGAACACTGGTGGTGACTGGACAGGCAAGTTCAAGCAAAGACCCAGCCACTTCGGTGCTGTCTGTGTAAATGCAGTTCCCACCCTGTTGGTACACCATGGTAGTGGTAGCTGTCTGCTGGAACTCCTGAAGGGCTTCCGGCCCCTTAGAGGCTAGCGAGTCCAGAAATTCCTTCATCCTGTGTTGCGGGACAGACCGCGCCTTTACTCGGATGTACTCTTCAAAGGAAATGGTGTTTTCCAGAGAATTATTCATATTGCAGAGTCCTTAGGGTTCCTAGAAATAAAATAAATGTCAGAAGTCAAAATTATGCTACTGTTTTCATATTTTGAAATGCAGAGCAATCATGCTTGCAACAGAGTGGAATATTCAAGGCAGCTTTGTACATCTAGAATTCAAAATAAAGTTATTATACCACCTTATTCTTTTTTTAGTTAACAGTGTCTAAAAATTGTTTCTATAAACATTTCTTAAATCAAACTATCACACTGAAAACAAAAAACAAAGGCATGCGTCACAGTACTGGATGAAACAGGCTGAAAACACACTCTCCACCCAGCACTAGGTCAATGCCATCTTCTCTGCAGAGCCAAGCACTGGACAGTAAAAGTCACATGCAAAACTACTCTGTGACCATCACAGAGAGGACTACCAAGGAAGCTAGGAGCAGGGATTCCTACTGACATGTTCAATTTCTGCGGCCAATGATGTCCTAAAGGGAAGAACACATATGCCATCTAGCTGTAGCTAGACCCTAGAGAAAGGGAATATATACTTCATCTCCCACCAGAAACACCAAAAATCCGTTTGCCATATGCTGCTCACATTGTTTTATAGCACAACTTACTGGTCAAAAGCATGGATTTTGGAGCTAGCCTGCCAGGGTCCAAATCCCAGCTTGATCGCTCCTTAGCGCTGAAACCCTGGGCAAGTTAGTTAACCTTAGTTCTCTTGTGTATAAAATGGGGACAAAAGAATATCTACCATACAGAATTGACATAAAGGTTAAACATATGTAAAGTACTTAGAAGAGCATCCAACATAGATAGCACTATTTAAGTACTAACTAATATTATTAAAATTAGTTGGGGGAGGGAGTTGAATAGCGCTTTAAATTAACTAGGTCACTACTAAAATTCAGAAATCAATTCAGCAAGTTTTTCATTGTGGTATTTATCCTAAGAATTAACCTGCAGGATAGACAGTAATTCTCAATTACTGGGGGGCAACCGTGCAATCTATCTATGGACTGCTGAGTGCCCTGCCACTGCTGCTTTCATACCATTCCCTCCCCTCTGGATCAGAACCACCTCCAGAACAAAAGCAGCAGCAGGATATGAGAGTCACACAAACCATGTGAACTTTTTTGCCAAAAAGGACTCTCCGTCAATCACAAATGGAAAAGTGATTTGTTTCCTTGAGCCATCAAGGAAAGGCTAGAAGGGCATCAAGGCTAGAAATACCAGTCTCTTTCACTGCCCAGATGTTCTACCTTATGTTACAGACATAAGGCATATGGATAATCATCTCATCTCTTCCACCTGACTCTAAACTCCTGGCAGACAAGACTGTGTCCCAAAACTCTCTGAATGGCTGACACACAGTAGGTACATATATGTATATATATGTATGTTGTATTTGCAATTGGATGTAAGAAAGAAGGATTATGGCTCTTTTGTCTCCGTAACGTCTATAACTTACAACCATAAATGTTACCCTTTTTCTTGGTAAATGGTTAGTATATATCATGGGAAAAGAACCTATATATCCAGGACAAGTGTGAGACCAAAGAAAACATATGATCCTTACTGCTATTAAGTTACTAACACTGGCAACATTTCTGTTGGACACTGTAAGTATACTATACAAGTTAGATTTGGGTGCTTTCAAAGAGAACAGACCCAACAATACATCTTTTATAATGATGCATATAATATATTCTAAATATATTTCCCCATAAATAAAGAACAACACATATACCTTGTCCTGCCTAAAATCAAATCCTAGGCCACTACTCTCAGGAGAGCCTCTATTTCTCAGGAAACCCCAAGAACAATAAAGTGCAGAAAACAGCAAGTGCAGGTCAGGTGAGGGCAAGGTTAAAGCCTTTGCTGACAGCCTCTAATCTGAAATTAACTCGTCTGTCCCTTTCTCACTTCTCTTCTGACCATCTCCCTTGCTCAGTTCTCCCTTCTCTCTGCTTCTGGGGCATTCAGGTATCTTTTCTCAGAGTTGAAAATTAGGAGGTCTGTTATGAGACTTCAAAATTAAGCTCTCAATGATGTCCATGGCACAAATGAGTAAGACCACCACCAAGGCCAAGCACCTCATCCTTTTGTTACCTATTCAGAGAAGGACATTCCAGTGTAGGTGACCTACACTCACTCACTACACTGGTACAGAATGTGTCGTATCTCCCCTCTGATACGAGCATCATGACTGACTGGAATTTCCTTCTGAAGAAGGCAGCTCTCATAATATAGCCCCAACAACATTACAAAATGCCTGACATGTGACTGACTCTAAATACCTAATCACACCTACAGTTCTGGCTCAGAAAGGAACAAAGGAGAGATATATGAACATAATTGGTTCACTACCATGCTGTTACATATTTCAGTTTTCCACCTCCATTATAAAAGAATGGCAGAGGTCAACTGAAACTTACATTTCCCCATATTTATTTTCTTCAACAATTAGTTGCATTCCCATAAAATACTGAGAGACTGCTTGAATTCTGAAGACTGTACTGGAATCATAGCTACTGTGTCAACGCAATTTTTTAAAAAAGTATGGAGAACCATGTAGCAAACCTTTTTTTGTCTCAAATCTGGGAGAAAATAAATACAAACAAACACAAATACGCCCAAAAGTTACAAATTAAGTTTACAGAATCAGAAAACCTTCATACAAACGTTGTTTGATAAAGGCAGGCCCTAAATCTTCCTAGTGACTTATTTCCCCTCATTATTCCAAGTTTCAGTAATCAGGAAGCTTAAGCCTCATCTGAAGCCTGATATTAGATATAAAGGAAAACCGCAACAATTTCTTTTTCTGGAAACAACATTTCTTTAGTTTTCAGGGTAGAATCATAACCTAGTTTTCTGGTTTGTTTTTGTTTTGGTTGTGGGGGGAAAAGTACAAGTAACACACCCATTTTCTAAGAAAAAATATTCAAATAGTACAGAAAAATAATTTTAAAAAACCCACAAAAAACACAAGAATACTTTCTTGATCTACCAATTTTAAACACTGACCTGTCCAAGGTAAGTTTAGGCCATTTAAATCCTCCTCCTCTCACCAACCCCTGCCAATCACATTGTTATTTTTGCCATGATCACTTTCATAGCTTTAAACTTCTTCTTGTAGACTTACTAAGTTTAGAGTATCTCTAGACTTCCTCCTATGTAAAATAAGGAAACTAAAGTCCTGCATCCTCTATTTTTCACAAGCCTTTAGGGAAGGGAGTAGAGCTTCTAATTAATCAATAGTTTACAGCATTTTAGAATACAGCATTTCATACCAAACTAAACTCAGGACATTATTTTTTTTTTTAACCAAGGTTCCAAAGATGATAAAAACCATTCTGCTCCGAACAAATGCTACCTGTATTTCTAGAATAGGATCTTAAGATAAATCACTATAAGGCGGCACCTGGGTGGCTCAGTCGTTAAGCGTCTGCCTTCGGCTCAGGTCATGATCTCAGGGTCCTGGGATCAAGCCCCGCATCGGGCTCCCTGCTCTGCAGGAAGCCTACTTGTCTCTCCCTCTCTCCCCCTGCTTGTGTTCCCTCTCTTGCTGTCTGTCAGAAAATAAATAAATAAATCTTAAAAAAAAAAAAAAAAAAAAAACATGGGCGCCTGGGGGGCCAAGATGGTTAAGCATCTGCCTTCGGCTCAGGTCATGATCCCAGGCTCCTGGGATCGAGTCCCACATCGGGCTCCCTGCTCCTTGGGAGCCTGCTTCTCCCTCTGCTTCTCTCTCTCTCTCCCCCTCTGTCTCTCATGAATAAATAAATAAAATCTTTAAAAAAAAAAAAAAAGACAAATCACTATTAAGAAACTCTAGTCCAACTATAAATTTATTCCAAAAAGGACAAATAAGATGGATATTCAGCTCTCAGAAAGAATGGAATAAGGGGTGCCTGGGTGGCTTGGTCAGTTAAGTGTCCAACTCTTGATCTCAGCTCAGGTCAAGATCTCAGGGTCGTGAGTTCGAACCTCGTGTTGGGCCCCATGGAGCCTACTCAAAAAATTAATTAAGTTAAATTTAAAAAAGAAAGAATGGAATAAAAGCTTGGGAATGTATCTGCTATGAAGTCTCAAAGTTCATTCTTTAAGATTTCATTAAAACAAAACAAAACACCAACAGTTTGAAGAAGGAAAATTCTATAAAACTTAGAAATAAAGGCTCTTCAACATATATTCTTCCTATTCTTCTTTGCAAAATATCTGAAACATCCTATGATAAAGATACCTTTTGTATTTTAAACAGTTTAGACTACAAAGTATAAAAACCCTCTGCAGTGCTCCAAGCTTAGAGCCCACTGTAGTCAGTGGAGCTTCAAGCAGAAGCCACAGCTTCCCAATTCCCATTGCTTTTTTTCTTTCACTAAGCCCCTAGGAGGTTCTTCACTGACTCTGTCTGTACAAGTCCAAAGAATCCTTTGAGAACCAATGAATCAGAGGAAGCTAAAAATATTAACCAATAATGGACTCAATGGAGAACCTAAAAAAACTTTTTTAAGATTTTATTTTTAAGTAATCTCTACACCCAAGGTGGGGCCAAACTCACAACCCAGAGATCAAGAGTTGCATGCTCTACTGACTGAGCCAGCCAGGCGCCCCCTGGAGAACATAAAAATTTAATGGAAAAGGCCAATTTGAAAGAACATTCCAATGTGCCCATTTATACAGACTAAAACACACATGGCTTCATTTCTTGTCCTTTTAACCTGCTCACTTGGCAGTATCCACCAGACTGACACATCCCAATAATGAAAATACACTAAGTCAGCATTTGACCTGACACAAAAGTGCTGTTTACAAGGGGTGGGGGGTGGAGGGAAAGCTTCAGAAATAATATTTAAATATTTTAGACCAGTGAGTAAAAAAAACCAGAAAAATTAAGCAAATTCTCAATAGTGGTGATCATGGTTTCTTCCTATGTTTTTATGCTCAGAAAAAGCCCTCCCTACCATAAAATCAGGTCGTGAATCACCTACTATTTTTTTTAACTTACAGTGTAATTTTTTAATACAATGCTTTGATCCATTTAAAATTTATTTTGCATAATGTGAGGTACAAGTCTAATTTTATTTTTTCCGAAGAGCAAACAACTCGTCCCTGTATCATTTATTGAATTATTGAAATTCCTTTGCCCACTGACTTGAAATGCCACTGTTATCATATACCAAATTCATATAAAGAAAGTCCATTCCTAAGCATTTACTGAGTGTTCTACAGATCCTTCCATTAACACAGTAGCAAAAAAAAAAAAAAGAGAGAGAGAGAGAGAGAGAGAAATGTTAGTATCTGGAAGATTCCCTGTCCCCTCAACACAAAGTTTTAAATTTTTAAATTTAACAACACAAATAAGTTATGTGTGAAAAGGGAACCAATTCAATTGTATTTATATATCCCGGTATTGTTTATACGCCTAAGGAAAAAAACACAAAAAGACCTGCCAACAGTAGTTATGCCTTGGTGGTAGAATCACAGGACTTAAATTTCTTCCTGTTTAATACTCTCCTGTATTTTCCACAATTTGTATTAAATCAAAAAGATAATTAAAAATTAATCTTTTTACACAGTGATTATACCACAGTAATAGTAAAGACACGAACAATTCTGGCTGATCATAGCATGATTTTTCCCTCAAAATCTGAAACTCTTAAAGACAAAATCATCAAGCACCAGAGCTTGCGTAATAATGAAGACTGTTAACTTCTTCAAGATGCTGCTCTCAAGAAACACAAGGGTGAGCCTTGGTAATGGAGAAATAGAGAAACTCTCTACCCACCCCAAAGAAGCAAGATTCTTAATTAGCTCCAAGTCAAAGACTTGGTGAGGAGCAGTAAATAAACTAATTAATTAAAATACTTCAGAAAAACATGAAGCTGAAGGGATAGTTGAATACTCCCAATTTCTGGGAGTCAAAAAGGAAAGAGCCAGGAAAACACTTTGGGGCTCCTTGGGGTAGGGGAGTCTGTAAACAAGCATTTGCTTCTGAATACTTTTAAGCATAGCTGCTTTGCAAAACAATAAACAGACAAACCCCACACCAACAGACCTAGGAAATTTTCACTTGTATACACCTATTAATCACTAGTATTTCCCCTGTACCTTCTACTGGAGCTTAGCACAGTGTCTGACATAGATTTAGGCCCTCAATGTATTAAAGTTATCATTACTTTTATTATTTTATAGCTAGAACACAAGAAGGTATGATGGACAAAGTTTATTCTAAAGGAACAATCTATTACATTTTTTTTCATAGGTCTCTTTGCCAGTTTCTTTCTTTTTTCTATGTAGGTACTGAAGGAAGACTTAAGTACTCACCAGAATCATCCTATCTTGGGTCGCCTCAAATTTCTGATACCTCTTCCCAGTTCCCCATGCAGTTCCACAAGGTGGGTCTTGAATATGAGATGGACTAAAAGAAGAAACTCTGAGCTGCCTCAGAGCCCTGCCTCTTCCTGTTTACCCAGTCATGTTACTGGGCCCCTCTCACGGTTCACATCTACTCTATGTGCAGATGGCTCCTCATAGCTTTGTAAGTCTGGCTTGAAGAACACATTCACATTAAAAAAGAAATCAATTTCTATTTTAAGGAGTTGCAGTCACATTTGTCCTAATTAACATAAAGAATCATTTCAAAGAAGAAAATTGGGAGACGCTTCTACTCTTAAAAGATACTAAACCAATACAGGGTTTGTGATAGGTATTATCCTATAGGACCATTCATCTACCCCATGCCTTTACCAGAGGAATCCCTGATTTAGGGGCATTTCTGCCATGGTTCTATTTTTGGACAACACACTTTCAACCAGGATCTTAAATTCACATTCCCACCAAAGACTGATGGGCTGTAAATTGGCACAACCATTTGCATTAACTAGTAAAGCTGACAACATTCGCTCCATATAACCCATGAATTCTATCCCTAAGTGTGTATGACACACACAAACAGAAAGGTACTTATACAAGAATGTTCATAATAGTACTGTTAATAACAGTCCAAACCGGAAGGAAACTAGATGTCTACCAATAGTAGAAGAAATAGGGGCACCTGGGTGGCTCAGATGGTTAAGCATCTGCCTTCGGCTCAGGTCATGATCCCAGGGTCCTGGGATGGAGTCCCGCATCAGTCTCCCTGCTCCTTGGGAGCCTGCTTCTCCCTCTGCCTCTATCTCCCTGTCTCTCATGAATAGTGTGAGAATATTTATTCTCATGAATAAATAAAATCTTTAAAAAAAACTTTAAAAAAATAGAAGAAATAAGTAAATTGTGATATAGTCACATAGCTGAATACTACAAAGAAACTGGAATGAATGAACTACAGTAGCACACAACATGGATGAATTTAGTAATGCTAAAAGAAGGAAAACATAAAATACAGCATGATTCCGTTTACATAAAACTCAAAAGCAAACAAAACTATGTTGTTGAAGGATATGAAGGTGACAAAAGTAAAAAGAAAAAGAACATGATTGTCACAGAAGTCAGAATGAAAATTATCTCTAGTGGTTGAGAAGCTATGACTAGGAAGGGACCAATGAAGGGTGCAGTGATGCTAGCACTGTTCTACTTCTTGAGGAGGTGGTAGTTACACAGTGGTTCATTTACTTTTCATTACAATTAACTTTTCATTAAATTTTATACAGATCCACCTGAATTTACAGATAGATATTTCAAAAAAGAAAAAAAAAAGCTTTCTGACACAGCCAACCAGCTCTACCTACAATTTCGCTCTAGCCTCAAGTGTGACACCAAAGGTTCATTCTTTCCCCCTTTTCAGCAAAGCAAGAGGTTAATCTATCATTTGTTCATGCAGCCAAAATCAGAAATCACAATCCAGTGTGACAAATGGAGCATTTAGCCTGGAGAGGACTTAAAACATCTGGAACAAAATGCAGGGCAACTAAGTACAAAGTAACAGAAAAGAACAAGTGTTCATATTAACACCTCATTCTGAGGCTGAGAAATATAAGACTACAGATAAAGAGTGGCCATTTAAAAAGTAGACAAGCAAGAAGCATGATACATAGAGGACAAACCACAACTGATTAAATTAAAAGACAGCATGCAAGCTTTAAGGAAGAGATCCCTGATTCTGAAGCTGTCATAATGGAAGACAGCCATACCTAGAGCCCCTGACTTTGGTTACCTTTTGGGAGCAATTCAAATTTGTAAGAAATTTGAAACCCTATTTGATCTTTTGTGCGAAATGGCAACAATGTAATCTGGAAAGGGAATGTGGACAGCAAAGGTTCATGAAAAGGTACACAAATTATTCATCGCAGAGGGCTGGAAGTAGGACATCTTCTAGTAGGTAAATCTAAGTTAATGAGCTTACAAAAAATATTATCTACAAACACCAATTTAAAAGGCAGATCTCAAACTTAAGAGTTGAAAACAAAGATATCCCAGAATAAGCAGGCCTAAAAGTATATTAAAATGTTAAGCCTATCTCAAACTTTACTGCTGTTCTTTGAACCATTTAAGGACCTCAGAAAAGCTTATGTGTCCTAATGCTAAAACCTGAAAGTTGCATTGACTTACATTTCAAGAGAAGAAAAGTGTTCAAGCAGCAAACTGTGGCTGGATTCAAAGATGCAGTTCTCCCACATCTTCAATTTCCCAGCACTTAGTAGTTTCTGTCAGACAGCACCCAGAATGATTGGCAGGATTTGTAATGTTTCAATACTACGAGGAAAAAGACTGCACACATATTTCCAGCATATGAATGATTTTAACTCACCAGTCACCATGTTGCATGTATTTCTGCTGCTTGTCCTGAGTTCTTAAGACTTGTAACATTCTGAAGAAGATAGAACAAAGAAGTCCTTTCCATCCTAAGCCTCTTTTTAAATTTTAACTTTGTTCTTAAAATACAGTATATTAAAAGAACTACCCCCATCATTATTAAATTTGGTTGCTAATTTTACTTCCTCTTAGCTTCTTTTTCCTTCAACTTAATTAAGCAAGACTGTAAAACAGTCTGATGTCTTGTCTTTGAAAAAAGAAGTGCATATTTCTCTAGAACAAACCTAGAACTCCCCTAGTACCAGAACAACAAAAAATCTGAAAAGAATTGAAATTCTACATCAAAAGTGACTTCTGCAGTGATATATGAACATATTTTAGAAATTTCTCTTGGGGAATTTTGTAATTATAAAAGAAGGCAAAGCACAGATTTCTCAGGTTGTTTAATTTTGTTCTGGGCAACTTTTTGGCTGATCGATAGCGGGTCTTCCTTAGTCTAACAGAATACAAATAAGCCCCTCCCACCCGCCCAGAAGAATAGGCTGCATTTAAGGATTTGAAGTGGAATTTTAAAGCTCGGGTAGTTTCACGACCACAGAAGAGGATCCCCTTCCGGAGCGCACAGAGGTGACGTGTAGGAATTGCGCTTATGCAAGAATTACTTTACAATGACAAGAAAGCAGGTACCGCTGAAGAGCCTTCCAGGATTAACCTTCCCTCTCCAGCACAAAGCACCAGGACAAGGTGAGGAAACTCGAGGGGGCTCGCTGCCCTCACAGACCTACAGGGCTCAGTTTCAGAAACAGGGCAGCACCCTCCCCGCACATTGGCCTCAGGTCACTGCATTCTTCGAGAAGAACGAGCAATCTCGCCCGCCTCGCAGAAGAGCGGAGCCTCCAGTCAGACGGCAAAGCCGGTTGGTTTCTCCCCAGGCCTAGGCCACGGCGGTCCGGGGACGTCACCAGAGCAGGAAGGGCCCAACCCACAACCTTCCTCACACTGCGAGCCGCCCGCCAGCTCGCCGCCGCTCCACGCAGCAGAGGTGTCCTGCGCGTCCTCGCGGCGGCGGCGCCGCCACCCAACAGCAGGGCGCGCGCCCCGAAGCCGGGGGTCGCGGGCGGGCGCGCGCCACAAAAAGCCGCTCTTGCCCAAGAGCCGCAGCACCAGGAGCGGAGATATCCTAACCGGGAACGCGCACGTCGGCGGCCACGCGCGCCCCAAGGGCCGCACAGCGCGCGCGCGCCCGCGTATAAACAGGCCCGGCCGCGCGCGAGCACCAGGGCGCGTTCGCGCGCCGCGCCCACCCGAGTCCCCGACCTGCCTCTCCCCACCCCACAAGGGGCGGGGGCGCGCGAGCCCAGGGACATTCTCCGCTCCGGAGCCGCCCCGAGGTCTCCTGGGCCCAGCGGCAGCGGCCCCCCCCCCCCCCCCCCCCCCCCGCCGTTGTGTGGGGTGGGCCCGCGGTCTCAGGCCCGCAGGTTCGCCGCATCCCTGCCCCCACTGCAGCCCTCACCCGGCGACGTCGTCGTCGCCGCCGCCGCCGCTCTACCCGCCGGCCCCGCCGCACCGCTCGGGGCCCCGGTTCCGCCGTCGCCGCTCCAAGACCGACAGGATTTTCCCCTCACAGCTCCCTGGGCGCCATCTTACATTCAACCCTCACAGCCAATGGGTGCCGAATGCTCCTCTCGCGATAACCGAAGCGTCGGATCCCGCGAGAATCGAGACTGCCTCCTGGCCAACCTTAAAGGGAACGCTTCTGCCCAGACGAGAGGCCGGGCCTCCGGCTGCAGAAACGGCGAGTAGAGCCAGGCGTGTAGGGCGGAGCGCCCCGCCTTCGGACGCCCCTCCATGCTGGGCGGAGTCAGGGCCGGAGTTCGGCCTTTCGAGTTGGAGCCTGGGCGGGTTGGGGCTCCAAGCTTGCTCGCTGGACCCTTCTGCAGCGTGCCTGGGCCTCCTTCAGTCGCGTAGCCCCACGTGGGGCGGGGCCCCGTCTCTTGCTTAAGGTAGCCCCCACAGCCCCTGACCTAGGCTCTGCGCCCCCGTACCATCGTCCCACCTGGGAAGCCCGGAGTCCCTCTCGTGCAGGAGTCCTTAACATTTGGGAACCCCCTCCTCAATCCGCTGTCGTCCTAATGCAGCCTTCCGCAACCCAGTCCACCTTAAAGCGGGCCTCTAGTAGCCTGGTGTTTGTATACAGGGAAAATGTGGAGGGTGTTAAAGCTGCAGGCACACGCGAGTAGCCCACACTGCTCCAGAGGGCAACCAGTTGGCTATAGACTTTTTTTTAAAAGGGCATCAGGGCCTTTGCACTTTTTCCTCCTGCCCTGGCAAACATCGCCTTGGTCCTTAGGGGTTCCCTAAGGAGTCACCTCCTGAGAGTAGTCTGAGGCACAGGATTGGTCAGGAACTTCCTCCCGCCTTGCACAGGCCCCAGGGAGACCTCTCTTGCACAGTGCCTGGTCACCCTCTGTCTGCCCAACTAGACGGTCAATTTAGAAGGCCACCGCACAAGTCTTCCTCTTCTCATTGTGCCTGGCACGTGGTAGGCACTTGATAATTATTTGCTGAATGATTGGATTGAGAACCAGGTCTGTTTTCATCTACCTAGGCACACAGGCAGACACAAACCCTCCAGATCCCTCTAGCACAAGGTTGCTAACAGTGGAGCAGCACCCAGAGCCTGCCAGCCTCCCGAAGACCAGGTGCAGAGGATTTCGAATCAGGTCCAGGTCCCTGCCCTAGAGCACTAAGAAGTGCACCAGTGGTTTCAAAGATGTCAGTATTGTTCTGTGTGCAGTGCACCTCCTCCTACCCCAGCAAGTCTCTAAGGTCCTCAGGAGCTGGAAGTGCAGACAGGTAACACACAGACTCCAGGGGATTTAGCTGTTCTTTATTGATACGGAGTCTGGGTACCCCTAGCCTCCAGAAGCATGAGGTAGTTCCACGGGGCTTCCTTACAGCTCACACCTTTCCTGGATCCTCCTTCAGTGTGACAGTCCGGTTGAAGACAAGCTGGATGGCAGATGGGGAAGAATGACGACCAAGCCAGAACCAGGCTAGGAGGCCCAGACCTCACCAGACCCTACCCTCACCTCATCCCAGAGGAGCTGAGGGTCAGGACACTCAGGTTCTCAATAACTATGACTTTGGGTAGAGGACTGGATGGCTCTGGGCCTCCATTTTATAAGGATTGTAACAACCACCATGCCTGACCCCTACACCTTGAGGCATAAGAAAGGCAGGATCCATACAAAATTTTGTGCATGGACCTCTGAACCTGTTTCCTCATCAGTAAAACATGAACCCCATCTCAGGTGGTAAGGATTAACTAAGGGAATGTTAGCAGAGCACTTGGCACAGTAAATGGCATCCACCACTGTCACTGTTGTGCAAAGGGCAGGCAGGTAAATTCAAGCACCTGTCCCTGGCAGCTGTCTGGATCCACGGAGAAGTAGCCAAGCCGCTCAAACTGGAACTTGTCAAAGGGCTTTGCCAGGGCCACAGAGCAGTCCACTAACGCTGCCTCCACCACTTGTAGCGATGCCTGTGGGCAGGGAATTCAGGTGGCCATCCAGCCAGAGAGACCCACCACCCTCACTTTATACCCCACGAGCCTACCGGGTTCAGGTCACTTAAGAATCCACCAGGCACCTCAGCAGGATCCTCAGGGTTCTTGTGCTGAAATCTGCAGCCAGAAGGAAGGTTAAGACTCCAGCTGGGTAGCCACAGCAGGCAATGCCCATCTTGTATCTGCCTGCACCCCAGCTCTGTTCACTCACAGTCTCTCATAAAGGCGAATCTCACAGGTCAGAGGCTGTGACACCCAGTGAATAAAGGCCTTGGGCTTTTCTCCAGCATCCGCCTGTCTACAGGTCACTTCCAGTCTCTCTACACAGCCAGTGGGGCCCTGGAAGTCAAGCGGCCCACAATTAGACCCAGGGACCACTACTAGAACTGGAAGCTGCACGCACCCAGATCCTCTCCGCAGCAGGCACTGAGGTAGGAAGGCTGCAGCTCACGCTCACCTTGAAAACATTCTGCAGCTCGATGACGTAGCCTGTATGCCTCAGGCCCACAGGCTGGCCCCATGCCAGGCGCTTATAGCCCGGCTCTGGCTCCTAGAGGTAGGAAGTGGTGTGGACACAAGAGACTGCACAGGTCAAAAAGGCAGAAGCCCCCCCCCGCCCCCCATTTCTGGCAGGGGCTGGTTCACCTGAAGTAGGAAGTAGGTGAACTGACAGGAGAGATGAAGGGATCTCAGGACAGGGCTCAGCAGCAAACAGGACCCTTCACACCCCCCACTTACTTCTTTGAAATCAGTCCTTTCAATGAAGACCATGGGTCCAAAGGGAACGTGATGGAAGCCCTTGGTCTCATCAGCTGGGAAGTTGGGAACCTGGATGTCTAAGGACTAGAGCAGGAGATAGGTGGCTGAGTCACACTAGGTACTGGGACCCCCATGCCCAGACCCAGGTGCACCCCCCCCAACACACACACAGAGGCACACCTACCTTGGTAGCAGGAAAGTTGGTGATGATGACCTGTAATGGCTCCAGCACAGCCATAGCCCGTGGGGCTGTATCATTCAGCACATCACGCACGCAGGCTTCTAGCAGATGGGGTTCCATCGTGGTCTGTGCCACTGTCACCCCCACCTAGCAGGAAAGATCAGCATCACTCACAGCCACAGCCACAAACTGCTCTGCTCGGCCCCCACCTGCCCACGCAGCCCATTGGGCTATACCCGAGCACAAAAGTTGTTGATGGCCTCAGGCGGAAAGCCCCGCCGTCGTAAGGCTGTGAGCGTGAAGAGCCGTGGGTCGTCCCAGTCCCTGTGGGCAAGGAGGTGGTAAGAAGGCCTTTGGCAGTATATGCCACTAGTTACTTCCCACCTTCAGTGAGGCAAACAATCATGCCTACCGCACAGCACAAGCTGCCACAAGCTGGAGAATCTTCCTCTTAGACACAACAGCATAGTGAAGGTTGAGACGGCCGTACTCCCACTGAACAGGGCAATAGACATCCAATGCATTGCACAGCCAGAAGTAGGAAGAGCGTCTGAGGTGGGAGAGTAGAGTCAGGTCTGGCCACCTCAGACCAGAGAGAGACCATAGGAAGGGCTGTTGGAATCCCACTGGCCCTACCCACCCCATGGGCCCAGCTCCCTCACCGGGCCTGGAATTCCTTGGTGCAGAGTGAGTGGGTGATGTGCTCGATGGAGTCACAGAGGCAGTGTGTGTAGTCATAGGTTGGATAGATGCACCTGCAGGGCACAGACCATAGGCCCCACCATCCAGCCCCTCTGTGCCATACCCATGGCCCACCACCCCACTCTATAAATCCACAGCCCCACCCCATGCTCACACCCACCAGGTGTCACCCGTGCGATGGTGTGGTGTATACTTGACTCGATAGGCCACAGGGTCCATCTTGCCATCCTCCATCACCAACTTCATGCGCAGTGTGGCCTCACCCTCCGCAAACTTGCCCTTGCGCATTGCCTGACAGGAGCAAGGGCTCAGACTGCCTCTCAGCACAGGGGCATCTCCTCCTCAGCACCCACCCAGACCCAACTGCCCCTCCAGAACCCCACCTCAAAGAGCAGCAGTGACTCCTCTATGGGACGGTCTCTCCAGGGTGAGGGCAACGAGTTATGGCCTTTGAGCTCCTCTCCTCGCTGGTGGCACACATAGGCCTGGCCCCTATGGGGAAGAGGTATGAGTGCCCAGGATGGCTATGTCCTGGGTAGCTTGCCTGGCTCTACATGACAGCCCCGGCCTCACCTATGGATGAGCTCCACGGCCCAGGCATACAGCTGGTCAAAATAGTCAGAGGCATATGTAACCTTGTAAGGAGTGTAACCTGGGGCAGAAAAAGGCACGGTATGAGCAACTAGCCAGGGACACCCAATGGCAAGCCATAGCCCAAGGAGAGGCCCACTGACCACCAGGTCTTTCTTCCCAGCCCTTGCCCAGCCCATACCCAGCCAAGACACCATGTCGCAGATGGCAGTGAAGAACTTTGCTTCCTCCTTCTCAGGGTTGGTGTC